CCCTCCCTCTTCAAACAAATAAATTTTCTCATTGGCTGATTAACCAACATCATTTACTAGCTGCCACTTTATTTGCTCATAGACTAAACAACTAAAAATGCTTATAAAAATATAAGACTGAATACATTTAATTATCGTTCTTAATTCACATTCTTTGAATAATTTATTTATGCAATTCTTGCACAATCAAGATGTGACTTTATTTGAAAATGGCGGTACATATCCTATGTGATGATATGGAAGTTGTTCAAAACGTATGATTACTTAAAGAAATGAGTAAAACATATAAGAAAAAGAGGATGCTCATCTTCTTACAACGAATCATTCTGCTGATTAAGTTTGGCTCAACGAATTCATATTTAAAGATCATCCTTGATCTTTTCAAATTGGATAAACTACCGAAAGCATTTTAGTAAAGCTACAAATTAAATAGTAAAAAAATAACTCAGAATTTTTCATAATTTCTAATCTTATTTCTCTTCTAGTTAACTTTAACATTTGAACATATGGAAGAATATCATGTTTCAACGGATATATTTATCAATGAATAAAATAAAAAGAAAATGAATTCTTAAAAAGCGAAACAACTTCGCTAACGTCTATGTCATTTCGACTATTGATTTTTTAATCATATTTTCAGTTGCAATAAAAAAAAAACAATAATGATTGCATTGAATTTTTGTTAGACATTTCATATTTTTCTGTAAGAAATAATATTATTTGTTGACGTCAAAGAAAATTCTATCTTACTGTGACTACTACCGACAAACATCTGTTACTTATTTGGATGCTCATTGAAATAATAACTAACAAAGTATATCAAAGGATAAACACGTTTCATGGAAAAAATAGATTGATATTTATTTTTTTTCATAGAAAGAATAAAAGAACGTTTGAAGATGAACAAAGAGAATAGTTTGACACTTGTAAAGATCAATATGTGTTTTGATATTTCTACAATTATTTTCATGTAAAAATTGATCAATAGAATACATAATGAGATAATTGAGATCATCAAACTTGTGTTTGTCAAGACAAAAATTGGTTATAATTGTTGAAACAATAACTTCTAATCTTTTTTTAGAAAACATAATTAAATTGATATGAATATACACGCATAGAATCAAACTTACTCATGCAGAAAAAAAGGCAGAAAATGTGGGTCAAAAAAAAAACAACAATAGCAAATTCAATATAATTTACAATCAATTTTTCTATTTGATCGATATCGAATGTTGCATGATTTGATAAGTCGTAAAAGAACAGATCGTATATCTGCTTAGTCTATTCAACCACACTTTTGCACTTCGTTGAAGATTCATAATATTTTTTACTCATTTTTTTTCTTTGGATTCAGACACATATGAGGTGTGAGTATCGGTTAATTATCTCTTCAATCAAATCCGTACTTAGCTATCTACACTATTTATTGAATCGACATTGAAAATTCTATGATTGTTGTTTTATTTTATGATAATAATTACTCTTGAATTGTTAGCCATTCGAATTGATCAAAGTAATTATATTGTGATGTTACGATTCAGATTCCAATATGAAAACTGCAAAATGATTTCTTAATTAACTAGCTAAATGTAAACCATCATCAAATCAAGAGTAAGATATCAGCAATATGAAATTTGAGCAAAATTGTTTTGGTGTTTTTTTCTACTATGGTTAGATTGAGATCGTCAGGTAACCTTGAAAAATTGTAGTTTTGATATATTTGAAGTGAAACTCACGAAAACTAGGTTTAAAAAACTAAGAAAAGTCTATAAAAATTGAAATATTTAAAATATATGAGATTTCAGTAATCTGAATATTTATTCAATTGTTTTTATTTTACCTTTCATATAGTTAAAAAAAATACTGCATGTTTCTCAAAAAACGGTACTTAATTGTTCAGAACATCGTTGTTTATTTTAATATTATAGCAAAGTATCATAAATACGAATTTGTATTCAACGATTTTGACTCTTAAAATGCGCGGCTCCAAAATAAAATGAATATCATATCCAGTATCAGCAGAAAAATCTGCATCGAA